CATTGAGCAAGCTCTTTTTTTCTCTCAAACAGTGATGTCGGCTGCATTGCGCACGAATTTGTCTGTACGAATTGTTACACCTATGTTTAAGAAGTTTTTGCTCTTAATGCAGAACAGAACAATCAGCCAGAGTTGGCGTGTGATTACAAAACATAACCAGAATCAAATGGAATGAAAAAAAAGAGCGAAGTGTATACAAAAGAGGCAATTGTTTTCAAGCGATGGAGTTTCATTGTATGTTCCATGAGTGCACCGAAGGGAAATGAAATAAAACAGAGCATGAGGAAAATGTGCAATTTTTCTTTTTATTTTGCTTTCGCACACACACCACACACACACATAGAGCAACAGCGTCTGAGCGTTAGTGAAATGATCACGCGATGACGATAGACTAACAGAACAACAAGCACACAACGTGTGTATTCTGAGTAATTTTTTTGCTTTTGCATAAAATTCACATCGCAAAAAAGACGAAATCCGGTAGAAGTGAAAAAAAAAACACAAAAATATGATGAAACTTAGATTCGTAGATTAAATAACAATTAAAAACGCAAGCTTCATTTTATCTAGTCGGTTAGTGACGTTTTGGTAGAATTTTACATTTAACGACAGCAACAGCAAACCGAAACAAAACAACAACATTATGTGCATGCAATAGCAAAGTCGCTCGTCATTCAACGTAACTGTAATGATTTTAAGCGCTTGATTTTACCGTCAATTTCACACATCGCTTCGTCGGTATGGTATATCTAAAATTGTAAATCGTCCGAAAAAGCTGAATCATTTGCCATTAACACGATACATTTAGTTATTCTTCAAACGGTTCCATTATCAAGGACCATTTTTGTACCGTTGTCGCCTCACTTGCTCGTCGCAAAAATGCATTAAACAAAACACACGGTGCTGTTGTTGTTGTTGTTGTTAATGGCCATGAAACTAAACTGTTAATGTTTCACTATGTCAATAAATCCATCAAAATACGTCATAAAACCAAAGCACACTCACGGATATTGATTAGGTGCTTCAAAGCGCATAAAGTGTATGCATTGTGCAATCAATTTTATCGAAGCCGTTTTCTCGGTCTCGAACAGTGGTGCAAAATAATCAGTGGCGATGTGCATTGTGCAAAGTTTTGTTCGCTTGTTCGCTTGCACGAAACAAGTGCGCTTCACGAAAGATTTGCTCGCATTGTGTGTGTGTGTGTGTATCAAAATTGGTTTGTAATCATGTCTGAAAAAGATCCGCTTCAGCAAATTGCACACGCGAAGCGAGCAACAGAGATGAAATGAATGAAGCAAGAGAGAAAAAAAACACCTCTTAAAATGCTTTCAAAAACGAAATTAATTAAGATATATATTTTAAATGTTACCGTTCAGTCCAATGCGTGCATTTTACATCCACCATTTTTCATGTGCCTTTCTTTTTATTTTATTTTTTTATTTTTTGTTTGGTTTGCGGAACGATGCGATATTCTTTCATTAAAATACGGAAGAAATTGACTGTTCTTTTCTCTCACTTTTCGACATACATGTGGTCTCTTCCATTTAAATTAATTTTATTTTATTTTATTATCGCCTCATTATGAGTCTCGGCTCGTGATGCAATTTCCTTTCACGTATTATTATAAAAATCAACAAATGGCCAAGAGCCAAACAAAACCGGCACACATATATGCAGAGAGTGAGTGGCAGAGCGAGCGGGAAAAGGGAAGAAATGGCATCAACAAAGAAAAAGGCCTGAACAATTTGGCCTCGAAGTGAAACGCCATGTGAAAGAATTTTCCGTGCCATTCTTTTTTTTTTCACAATCATTTAATTAAGTGTGAACTACGCACGAGAGAACTTTCCGACTGAAAAGAGCTCTCTCTCTCTCTCTCCAGAGAAAAGCAATTAAAACCATGCTTTGGATTCAGTTTAGAAAAAAATTATTATCATTTATATGTTTGCCATTCATATTTCATTTCAACCATTTCGCTAACAATAAAACTTCAAAAATCAAACTTAAAGAATTTTCATGAGTCGCAGCCGATTTTGGTGAAAACACGTGTGAAACCATTGGTTCAATGGATAGTTAGTGCTAATTTGTGTTCATAAAAGAACATTACCGATAGAAATCTAGTTGGCAGAACCAATTAGGCTAATTTTAATTTGTATTCGGGTTAGTTTCGTTATGATGCGAAAACAAACGTTGATTTCGTTATTATTATTTGACATGCAAAATGACCAATATTACAAGCTGATATGATGTTGATGATGCTAAATAGTATATATCATTGTAAACAGTGGCTTTAGCTAAGCGAGAGCTCAGCGGAAACTGATTAGCATAAAAATTCCCCTGATCTAAATACATGCCACTAGTAGTTGGCACGCACAAAACTGCGGATGAACTTTATTTACATTCCACAGCTGAAGCAGCCAATTTAAATTCATATGAACTAAAGCGAAGCCATCCGATGAAGTTCTCATCGTGAAAAATTGGAATAATACCTTTTCAGTTCATAAAATATAACTGAAATATTGGCCTTTGTTTCCACGCTTCTGTATACACATTCACAATTTTCGCGAGAACAACAAACAACACATGTCTGAATGGATTCTCGTCGTGCGTTGCGAGCGTATGGATGACACAAGCTTGTTACCGATGACAAACGATCCGTTAATGTGTGCGTCCAAAATCAGTTAGAATCTATTACCAGTCGCTCAATTACTCTCTTAATGGAGGGAATGCCAAAATGCAGCAATCACCTTAGGCAAAACCAGATATCTGGTTAATTAGTTATTGCAACTCTTTTTATTTTTGCCTTTTTTTCTGGCCCGTGAGTAAAATGGTGCAATAAAGCACGTTAGAGTAATTTCTTGAGAAATTGATGAGGCTCGGCTCGTGATACTATGAGTATATATATATTCGAAGAGCAACCAAAACGATCATCGTCCCATAAGCAGACACGTTCAAATCAATTTCCAACCATAATTGCAAGTCTCTTCATAGATTGTTGATTTTTTTCGTTTGGTTCGTTCTTGTTGTTTTGCACAATGCACGCACATCCATCAGACGTAAACCACATGAAACAACGAGCTGGAACTAAGCTAGAAAAAGAACATTTTACCCATATCAACTCGAATCATGTCGAATGGTAACAGCAACGAGCTGCAAGAACGTAAGGCAACAAACAGGTATTCCAGTCCGTTCAGTGACGATATGTACATGTTTTATTTATTTATTTATTACAGGCATGAAGCAAAACATACGACGAAAACAACAACAACAACAACAGCAGCCACAAAGTGTAATCGCGTAAGGAGCTGTGCTGCAGCAATACTCCCTGTCAATTGCCATTTCTTTTGGTTCGACTCTCATCGTAACAATCGAATCTTGTCTCCCTTTCCAGCTAGTACATTCTGATAGCGTGAGCAACGCAATGGTAAAATACCATCTTTTTTATTTTTGTTCTTTTCACATTGGCCATTATATTACATTATTTTTATTATGTTGCCATCAATAAACATTACATTTTTTTTCAGTTGCTCTGCCATATCTTTTGAATCAGTCTCCTCTATGTGCATCTCTGCAGCGCATATCATTGTGATGCTAAACAAATACTGCATAAAACGAGAATATAATTCAGTGTCTGTGTTGAAAGTGTGTGTCTGTGTCTTTCTGGGCTTCGTTTTTTTTTTGGTTTACCTTATCCAAAACGAGGAAAATGCACACACATTCATATTAATTAAATTCCGTTAAAGGCAATTACGATTGCATAAGTAAAGATTTGCGCTTGTTCTTTTCTCTCTCTCTCTCTCTCTCTGGCTTTCTTGCTCTCGCAGTCGTTGCATATCGCCAATCCAGTATTGCATTCTTTATGACTGTACAACTCTCATATGGAAGAAACTGTAAATGATGAGATTTTTCACATTGTCATTTGGAGATTCCCTTAGGAGAGAAAAAGCACATACTGAATCCATCATATTTCTCTTTTTGCAGCCACAAAGATGAACGAAAATGACGTACGTGTTGATACGGTTGAACGAAAGAAGGTGGTCCATGATGTTGCTGTTGTGCAACGAGAAATGCAATTTTTCTAATTTAATTTAATCTTTATGTAGCTCAATTTGGGTTTTTTTTCCCTCTTCGTAATTCACGCTGTACGAAAAACAAACAGCTTCATTTTTATTTTCATCATCAATAAAAATTGATACATTACAAGCTTGTTTTTCTGTTATTCTCTTCGCATCGTTTGCATCGAGAGAAAAAAATACACCAATATGCACATATGTGAGCATGAGTGTGAGTGCGAGAGAGAGAGAGATTCGTGTGCCAAACGGTTCTTTACCGTTTTATTTGCTAATCAAATATAAATTACCGCTGATTATTAATTGAAACTGGAATTGCTATATTTGATCAAGTGTGCAAGTGCAATTCAAACCATATACCGAACCGGACCGGACAGCTTGGCCAGCCGTTTTGAAATTCTAAGTAGCTTATAAATTATTATTTTATAATAATGAAAGTACATTTGCGAGGAGGAAAAAAATGAACAACAACCATGCATACACTCACATGTGCCGTAATTCTTATCATAATTCTAATAATTTACCGTGAAAAAAAACTCGATTAGGTGGAGATCGATAGAACACAGAAAAAAAGAGATAGAAAGAAAGAAAGAATGAAAAAAAACAATATATGCGAAATAAATTGCAAACGTGTTCAACCACTCATATTATTCATCAAAGATTATTCTAGCGACGCGATTCCATTGAAGCCAATTTGTTCCGCAGCATGTTTACTGTAGAAATGTTACAAAATCAAATTCACCTCAACGTAAATGCAACTCGATTTTCTTGCGTCATTAGATCGGAACGATGCGATTGCTTTTCTTCTTCTTCTTTTTTTTTCTTGGTCTTCTCTCCATTTCACAAACAACAAATTGCATAATAATCCAATGGTGATGAATTTTATCCGCTAAACGCAATTGCAATGTGCAAATGTGGGACATGCTTAGATTACGATGGTCACTGAAGAGATCAGAGGGTAATTTTTTTTTATTGACCTATTTTCCCAGATGCTGCAGCAGCGTGAAGTAAGAGAATGACGCCTTCATAATCTGTACGGAATCGAAACGGATTTATTTTAAGTTGAATTTGACAAATTGCACACATTAAATCAACACAATCAAAGTAGAGGCTTACACTTGTTAGCTTCTGGAAATCGAGTATGAAAAACTTGCCACCCGTCATAACCAATGGTTTTGTGCAATTGGCAAGGAAAATCAATGCAATTCGTCGAAATGGGCCACCACTCAAATGCCACGGGCACCGTAATAATGCATCGCCAATGTGAGATGATTGCTGTTTCAGTGTTTCACCGAAATAGCACAGTTGGAACACATCCAGAAGTGTGAGTATCAAATATGCGGTCATATTGAAATATTGTTCGGCGGTTCCTTCAATCTGATGGAAAAGAAAATTCGTTTCATTTTCTTATGAAATGTTTCGATAAAATTTTTAGTAAACTAAAGTTCTCCTTTTACATCTTTTACTTTTCCTCGTGCAAATCAATAAGAAAAGTCACAATTTTATTCCATACTCACTTTTAAAAATGTAAACAGCAAATTGCAAATTTGGAATGTGCTTTGAAATGATTTGAGCAGCACGAAAACGCTGAAAAAGTCCTCCATCATTGCACTGAACTCAATGAGCATTTGATGATGTCGAATGCAAGCAAAAATTGAAAAATTTAGCTCTTCGGTCAAATCGGTCAAATAATTGTCTTGCGGTAGGTATTTCTTTGATAGTTGGAATTTGCTTGGATCTCGATCCAGTGCGGCTCGCATTTTTGCTGTGTTCGCCTCGATGTCATCCATTAGTTCCGCTGCCAGATAATATTGATTGAGCTCTTCGGACTCGGAGTCAACCATCGATTGCAGTTTTCTATGTGGAAAAAAAAAACAAATAAACAGCGCTATATCCCCCAGTAATTGTGTTCACACACGAAATAAAAACTAACCGAAGCTGTTCCAAGCGCGATCCGTTCAGTGTCATTGCAGTAGCTTGCAGATTTTTCAAACTACACAGTAACATATCAAACTGGCCGCTGGCTATGATGACTGTCGACGCCAGCACACTGCTAGCATTCCCAAAGATCACTCCCAATAGATACTGACACATGCTATGAAGAAAGTAGATGATTTGATAGTACGGGTCAGCCTGAAACAGAATTTAATTTAATTCTTCTCTCCTGACATTTCTTCTTGTTTTTTTTTTTCTTTTAGAATTTGCTAGAAATAATTCCATACCAATTCATCCATGGGATACTTGAGTTCAATCGGAAGAGTGCGTGTGCTAGCAAATAATGGAACGATTGCCCATTGCAGAGTTCCCTGCATACACATTACCGTCCACCAAAAGGTGTATCTATTTGCCACAATGTAACTCTTTTCGGCCGTCATGAATGTTAATCCGTAGGCGGAACGCGTCAGAAACTGTGTGTTCATGTACTCGACCATTCGCAAATATTTTTTATAATTCAGTTTGTAGTAGAGTAGTGTGAAAAATGCGAATACATTGATAATAACCATCGTTATGGCATTGGTTATCACCTCCAAAGCACTGCTCCGAATCATTTCCAACAAGAACAATATCGCAAGATGCAAATGAACGAATGAGAAAAAACCGAATAGGCTCCAATTCAAGTATACCGAAATGAACTCCAACTGCTTCGGTAAATATCGTTCGAAATTAATGTAACACATTCCGGCTAATTTCAACAATATTGTTCGATACCGCATCAAATCTTCGACGTGGAATTCGGGGTTCCACGTTTTTGGGTCCTTTATCGCTAATGAAAATCGCAATTTCATTATGAAAATCTCACTCGAAAATCGAATAAATCAAATTAACTGTAGCCTCTTTGTCAAAGACTTTCTTTAAAATAGCTCTTCCATCGCGATGACACTTCATTTTATACCATTCAAAACTTCTCGAAAAATCCATATTGATAAAGTAATTACTAGGCAAAAACTTGCCAGACGATTTACTTTCATGCGACAGTTAAAACGGTTAATTAATTAATTTTCCATTTTAAAGTGAAAATAAGTCCATCAAAACCATGAACAAGGTGTATAATTTACCAGAAAACTTTCGTTCAATCATGTCGGACGTTAATAGCCGCAGAGCAAAAGTCCAGTTCAAGAATCTTCAATTTTGCTCCATTCACACACAAATAGCAGAACACACCGGCACTCGTCACTAAATGTCTGATCCATTTAAAATGCAAATACCTTTCAGTTATAAAATCGATTTGTCTGTGGTGTTCATCAATCTTGCAGCGATAACCCGTCGTGCTATTGGCATTTTTAAGGTAAATATAGCTCAAATCCCCGGTTAGAATTGTTGTTCCTATGTCGAAAAAACACAAAACAAAATATATTCTTGACGTAGCTCAGCTTAACAAGAATCTGAATTTAATATCAATTCGAAATAAGTTACGATAGGTTAACAAATAGAAAAAACGTTGAAATAGAATGGAGAAGAAAAAAAAAACCGGATTCTCTTATGGTGATACATTTAAAACTGTTCTATGTGTGGCATGATCACCGCGATAGTAGTTGTTCTTGGCCAGCCCCTTCGCTTGTTAAAACGTTCAAAACATTACTCAAATCAACCGATTTCAAGAAGTGTCGTCTTCTTCGCAACATTTTTATGTTACAAATTAATTTTCATGATTCTCCGAAATACAAATGATTCTATTGCGAATGAAAGAAGTATGAGTTAAATTGTCAGTTCAAAATGTGTGGATTGACAAAGCGGATTAAATGTCATTCAGTCAAAGGGTAAAAGATAACTTTGCCGCAGGCGTTGTTTCCTGAGCAGACCACCAAAGTTATTTTTAGATTTCATTAAGAACAGATTTTTTTGTGCAAACAAAACGCCTGAAATATTAAGGTGACATTGGGTTACACAGTTAATTTTATCGTTTCCATGTGCTTTTTTCCACTTGTAAATGTAATACGTTGCACGCGCCTTCACATTTTGATATTTTGTAAGAAATTGATGGTTAATTTGATGAAAAAAAACAAGACATCGTCGTCGTCGTCGTCAAAGTGCATTCGAAAAAAAATCAAGACATAATCATGCGATCCAAACATTCATGTTATGCAATTTGGCCAAATGGTAATGATAGTTGATGGTATGGTATAGCGTTTGGTTTATAGTGCTTTAATGCGTGGCACATGTTCATCAGCGCACCTTGATGGCCGATTCGATTCGTCTGCTGCTCCATGCTGAGTATGTGCGAGAATGTTATGGAGCGTGTTAGGAAGCTAGAGTTGAATTTTTATTTTGGCAAAGCCAAAGAGAACAAATGATTATAATAATTTTTCGAGCAGTAGCAACAGGTTCTCGTGTGAATATACCGTGAGTTGTATGAACTTTCTGCTCATAACTCTTTTTCTCTCTCTCTCTCTCCCGTTCGCAAGCAATTTATTAAAAAGGGGAACAACAACAACAAAACGGTTGCTCGTCTGCCATATTCGTAAATGAGCTATTTGCATACAATCATCGGAACTCTTAAAAAAAAGCATTGAACAATTTTTGGCAGCCGAAATTGAAGAAGGCGAAAAAAAAACCACCGAATAACATTAAAGCGTAAGCACAGCCGTACTATTATCGCCTTGAACACAAACAATGTGCCATGAAATCATTCATAATCACATTTTGTATACGCAGAACACGCGCATATTTTTATTGGGCCTCGCCTTTTCTTTTGCCAAAAAACCAAAATCTGAGGAATTTCAGCAGTCTGGCCAAGAAATAAAAATGACCGAAAATAAAAAAAACCATTAAATTGCATCCAGAAATGTGCATGTTTATTTCTAACCGACAAAAAAGGAACGTAGAAAATCGTTGTGCCGGAAAGAAAGCATATGTAACTAAGCACAATTAAATGTTGCTCGGGCCACTTGTCGTGAAAATTCTTCGTTCCAATTGTGTTACCTCACCAATAAATGCAATAATATTTCGAACTTATTGCGCCAAACGGAAGAGAGAGAGAGAAAAATATGTGCAAAAACGAAATGGAAATAATTGACTTGATTCTTGTGTGCAGAGCAGATTTTTTACTCGGCCAAAGATATACACAAGCAGATGTGCAACGATAAACGAAACCAATTCCAATTGCAACTATTTCACGTGCAAAACGGAAATGCATTTTACGAATTGCAATTATCATTAATGATAACGAACATTTTAGCAGAAAATCGCAGTTTCACATTGGCCGGAGGAATGTGTTCGGTGCTCTTCGCGTGATAGAGTCGATAGAATGAAATTGCCGAAACGAAACCTGATGCATCGCAGACAAAAAACGAGCGAGCGGGCGAGTTATCAAACCGTTTTGTTCATTGTTATTCAAACTAGTAGCGAGATTATTCCGAGAATAAAAAATCTATATCCAGAATCATTTTTGCTATTTATAGTTTTTTTTTTTGCTGCGATGCATAAAAAAAGATTTTATTAGCAATATAAAAAAAACAGTCTGACCATAACTCGGGCTTTAACGATTAGACTTAATCGCTTTGAAATGTAATAAAAATGCAAAAAATGAGGGTTTATTATGTGACGAATTTTCGAAATATAATAATGATTTGCAATACCAGTTTCTCACATATGACGTGCATGCAAGCAGCCACACATCAAAAATTTGATATGCAAATTTTGTGTGCGTAAAAGGAAAAAAAAAAACTGGAAAAATGGGATTTGCATTTATAAAATTGTAAGCACTTTGTGAGTGTACAAGCTCGTTGGACAAATACGACAATTACATTGTAATTGAGGTTCAAGACTCCATAAATTGGTGTCGCAATTAAACGAGATAAGACCTAACGGTTCATACAAACTGAACAGAATCGACAATTAAACGCGTCGCCCTGCGTGTCATAAAACCCATTTAATTTTCATACGCACATACAATCGTTCTTCTTTGGTATTCCACCAACCAAAGCACCGAAACAAGTAAACGAGCTGCAAAAATCTGTGACGCGAAGAAGAATGACACAAAATAATACGACGCGGCTTGCAAAATGTACACAAGAAACTTCCGCCAAAAAAAAACTCAATCGATCGAGAGATCGCATAGCGAATTCAATGTGACTTTGAAATGCCGAAAATTATGTAATTTTTATAAACGTCTATTTACTTATGCTTTTCATAATGATGATGAACGATCCAAAGCGATGTTCTTCGGTGTGCGCGTGAGCGCGAAACAAAGCGGAAAGTGTAGTTGCCGAGAGTAACGAAATCAAAAACGAATTGGCGGTGAGGAACCAATGAGAAAAAGCTAAATCACTTTTTTTTCCAATTCCGCTCAGTTCTGGCCAGAACTGAGAGCAAAGGGAAAAAAACGAGCATTAGATTCGTATACCCACCATGTTCCAATGTGCGGTCAAATAAAAGCAAAATTAAATAACGAAATGGCAAACGGACAGTGTGAAAAAACACGTTGATCAAATCAGTCGAATGAATGGCAGAGGAATGGCAGCTCTGCATGGTATGGCAGAGGAACGACACGAAAAAGTCTTGACATATTGTTGTACGTTGTGCAAAAGATGTTAAAATCGGTTACACTGAGTTTTCGATGTTGAATAATAAGGAAAATTAGTTCTGTGTATATTTTGGCTGCTTTTTGCTTGTTTCGCTGTACTTTGTCAAGCTTCTAATTCATTTTCTTTCACATGTTTTTTTCGCTCGTTCGTTTTTGCATGTAAAAGCGGCAAACGTACCAGAAGTTGTATGTGCGATTTCATTTGATGTTATTTTTTTTTTTGCGCTCGAAACTTTAATTATTTCGTCTTTTTTTTTTCTGCTGTTCGTGCTGTCGTTGTACGCTGATTGTTAGTTACGCCGAATCATGGTTAGAAGGTTCATTAACATTTTTTAGCAATGGCCATGAAAACCAAAACTATCGCATAATACACGCGCATGCCTCTATCGAGCGCGCTCCGATACACACTCGAACACACACACACACACACACACACAACCAGAAATCCATACCAGCAATTTAATGTAGATTTAGGAAGAGAAGTTGCTCCGTCTACGTTTATGTGAGCCATTGTTTCGATCGAGCAAAGCCGCATGAATGCTGTTTTTCGTTTCATTTGAATGTTTCTTTTATTTGGCTGCCCATGTTTCTTCTTTCTCGGTCATATTGTCTTCGTTGGTTTCACTGTTATTACACCGTACAGAGTGATTTAAGTTATGATCGTTCATTTTTTTTCTCTGTTTCATTCTTCTGCTGTTGCTGCTGTTTCCACTGCCATTGCTGCCGTTGTTGTTGTTACTGGGATCATACGAATTGGCAAGCAAAACAAGAACCGAGTCGAGTGCGTTTTTAATTTTTTAGGCAACCCAAGTATTCCGCCCGAGTACGACGACGACGTGAAGTTATTCCAGTTGGACGGAATAAAAAGTGTTTCGTGTTATGCTATCGGCCTTTTTTTTCTTCTTCTTCTTCTTCTTCTTCTTCTACGGAGGCATCGGCGCTCAATGTTGTTTTGGAAATGATTTCCGAGCAAAATTTCAAAGCGAAATCATTTGTATGTGAAATAGCTGATGACTCGACCAAATATGAATATGTAATCAAAAGTTAGGCCACTAGTCAAAGCCGAATCAACCACAACAAACCACAACTTGATGTAATGATATTCATTACACATAGCAAACCTTCCGATTCTCTCGTCGTTCACAGACTAGATGTTTTGCTGCTTCGTTGTCGTCAAGAACGTATGACTGATTGAATGTGTGTGTGCTCGTCGTTTTTTTTTCACCGCTTCAGTTTCTTACTG